CGACTTTTTGGCATTGTTGCGGAAATTCTTTCAAGTAATGAAATCTTTCTTCANTATTCTTTGTGAAAACGTGTACAAAAATTAGAGAATTAATATGTGAAAGTTGTCATTTCTTTCAATATATTTCACTGAATCTGCTTTCAGTAGAAACGGTAAAATCAACTTCAAAGAAATCGCATCAAAAAGTTGAATGTGATAGTAAGTTTTCAATTCCTGATTCTTATGGATGTAATTTAACAAACATCCGCCTTTTTGGTCCTATTAAAAAAAATAAGTTGCCGTTTTAGGTAGTTTAATTATTCTCGAAATATCAAAGATATGATTTGGAAATTCCATTCAACCAGTTATGCTTCCAAATGGCCGAATTACTCAGAACATTGATTTTGGCGAAACGTTAAGAAATTCACCCAAAAGGAAAAATGGTCTATAATCATTGAAAAAAATGAATGCAATCAATTTTTAATCATTTCTTTAATCCCCTCACTTGACCAAATGTACGTTTGGCCAGAACTAACTATCGATGGCTAACTTGGAACACCACAGGGGAGTGTCCTAGGTCCCATGATTCTAACCTATATCAATGACTTGCCTCATAACATAAATAACGGTAGAGTCTTCCATGAATGCTGATAACACCTCCATTGTGATCTCCAAGTCAAAAAAACTGACTCGATTCTGAAAGATTTTGCGGATTACTGCATACGAAATACACGTATAAAATAAATAATAGTTAAACAGTATTGAGTTTCACACTTAACATATAATATTCTATAATCTACTTTCGAAAACAATAATTTACATCCACTTCATCTAAATTCTTAGGAACTGTTATAGATTGCAACTTAACATGGGAGGAACGAATACGAATGGTGTGTAAAAAAAATCAACAAAAGTTTCTACATTCTGGTAACGCTAAGAAATATTTTGAACACAGATTCATTATTACTGGTTTTCTGTGCATTTGTGTATTCCATCATACACGACAAGAATCTTTATTGCTCAAAAACGGATCTTTAGGCTTATTCTTAACATTAGTACTCGCCAATCGTACAAACAGATCTTCAAAACGGATCCTTACGGTAAATTTTTAGCTTGATTTTTCATATCATTGTATTTTTCAGGTAGACCCGTCGCATTCTGAATAAGAGAAGCAATTCCAGTTTCAGGTGCTGCCTGAAAGAAAATCTTCTGAACAAACCTATATACGCGAATATCTTGTAGGCAATAGTAGTATTCTTATGTTTATATTTATATTTAATATTCGTGGATCGATATTTAACCAAACCAACCAAACTTTGCTCTATTGGCCATATTTCCGGATTTTTTTTCAGATGGTTTCCCTCAAAACCAACCTCCTCACACGCCGCTGTCCCCAAGAAACATCCAATTCAAAAAACACGCGGATGATTTACAACGGCTGTTCTCAAATCATATACCGTTCGACCCAACTCTTTTTGTTCAATTTTAGTTTTAATTTTCGTTGAATCGACTCGAACAAAATGCCCCTCCGAAACGCATGTGAGCAAGTCGTCGGTACCGAGAAATTGCGCGTTCCATATTTTTCGAATCGCCGGCATTCTTTTTGGTCGAAGAAAACGATCCGCGTTCAATTCGAGCAATTAAAAGTATCGATTAACGTACCTGACGTACGAAAAAAGAAAACTTGAATTTGCGAGATGACCACACGTCCAGTGACGTAACTAACTCGAGGTTTGGAGGGTTAATTATTTTTTCAAGTACAATAATATAAAATTTGAAAAGGTAATTTTGAATATTTAAATCGATTTCAAAAAAAGGTACTGAAAGGTGTTAGATAACACTTTTATTATACAGGGTGTTTCAAAATAAGATGCTGATTTTCAAGGGTGTGAATCCTCAGAGGATCCTCAAATGAACCTACGTTCTACACCTCTTAACATTTGAGCGAGCTATAGGGTGTTGAAATCTCAATAACTTCATAGATGTTTGTTTATGAAATTTGACATACAACAGCCGTTTTTCAATGCAAAAGATTTATTGAGGTTTTAACCAGTAAAGCTAATTTCGTCTTACTTTCTATTGAAATTGTTTCTGAAGTGCTGTCTTCTTTCTATATAGTCTTGGATAGTGAATCTGCTGAGTTCTATCAAGGACTTGGTTCTCTTCCAACGCGATAACGTGAGTAGCGTTGCTCGGTATCTACCAGGTGACAAGTACTCTTGTGTTCAGTCCGGCTGCGAAAATATCCTTTTTTTTTATAAACATTTCTTTGATCCAGAAAACATATAACCTCATAAATAAGATACTTATTGCACCGTATAGAAGTAATCAGAAATGTGTACTTCGATACGGTGCTTATTGCATAATTTTCCGTGTGTCCTGCCACCTAGGAGTATCGTGGGTATTCACTTCATCTTAGTTACTTGATCAGAACCAAATGAGTATACAAAGAAATGAGCATTGTCTAAAGACAATGAAATGAGTGTTTACATGGAGCAAATCAGTTAGTGATCTGTACAAGTTAGTTATGCTTCTCTCGAATAGATGGCAAAGTATGGTACTGATATTCACCTAATATTTATGTTATTTCTGGTTTCTACTTCTGATTGTTGAGACTGGACGTCGAAATGTTTGGAATTGGAACTTTATCGCTGTTCATAGATCTCATTCCACAGTTTTCGATTTCTAAACTTTTGAAAGCGCATTAAAGCCTGTTGTCATGTACCGGTATCAACAGTTACCAAATGCGTTTATGTGGAATAAACTTCCTGAGAACGTTTTTCCAAATGGATTCAATCTCCAGCGATTCAAATCCAATATAAATCGATACTTTCGCACAGGCACCGCTCTGAGAGCGCCTTAAGGATTTTTCTGCAGTGCTTATGTTTTGTCCTTAAAAAAACACATTTCTCATTTATTCTATGGCCGTTCTCTAAGAAACGTTGAGCTTCACCATAGTATAAAGGTACTACGGTTTCACTGAATCTGGTTTAGTGTAGCTCAATGCTCATTGAAATGCGGTGTTATAGTTCACTTAGTTTGACCAAGATAATTTTTTTCGCAATCTACAGTTCATTTCGTAAATCACAGACTTTTTTTTCCATCACCCTGTCTTTCGGGTTGCCAACCATTTATTGGAGTGACAAGCACTAGAGGAAAGTGACCAAATATGGAATACATTTTGTTTTTTATGCATAATTTGCACAAATGTTATAAGTAAAAGACTTTTTGTACTATTTATTAACAATCATATATTTGCCCTTGAGTTGGTAACAATTTTAGGTTATATTGATGAGTTCCAGGTAACAAAAATGTTCAATAACTAAATAACGATAAAAGTGCCCATATATGGAATAGGTACATCAAATATGTATCTAATACTACAATCACTACCAAAAATTAACCTTAACTTATAAGATATTTTTTGAAAACTCTGGTTTAACATAGATAAGAACACAAATTATTTACAAAAATCACAAATCCAGGTATCAAACTCTGGCCCGCCGCAATCAGTATGTGCCTAGAGTCCACACATGAGGCACTTGATCCATGTTTTCCCATGAGTATCATTCGAAAACAGCATACCACAAAAAATACACTGCGAATCTTCAGAGTCTGGAGCTGTATATCCTATTAAGGCATTAGGTTCACTATTTGCATCAAACAGCACCACCTCCTCATCTTCTGAATCTGACATAGTCTTAGTCTTCTCTTTTGATTTCTTTCCTTTGGATTTCTCCTCATTCTGGTTTTTATTCTTGTCTTCTGCCAATTTATTTTCTTTTTCTTCTTTTTTCTTACTTTTGTCTACAAGCTCATTTTCGTACGGTGACGACGTGATGACTGCTACAACAGATGCATTCTTTCCTCTATTAGAAGGTTTCTTTTTTTTGTTTGGTACTGGACTGATATCATATGGAGACACGAATCCTAAATCACTGCGAGAAAACCCGGAAGTTGAGGGTACAGGTTCAAAGCTTGTATCTTGTCGGGGTGTAACAGCTTCAGTTAAAGGCGTAGAAGAGTTATCAGGTGTCCTTTAATTGGCCATCGAAGGTCCTTCACGTTGGTGACCTGATGACATTGATGTAGCGTTGACTGTGCAACCGTCTTCAAAATAGGCCAGTTACACGAAATCCATTTGCTAAAATATTGCCAGTTTGTACTTTTAAATAAGCTCTGCCAAATAGCTCAACAACATCATAAGGGCTCAGCTATGAAAACAATAGAGTGTGCACTTTTTGTCCAAAAATACGTACTGTTTACATACCTTAGATAGGTCTGCGGAAGCGGTAAAACAAAAGACTGTCACAACGACGAAAAGGCTCACTGGACTGACATGTAACCACTTATACGCGTGAAATGTAGTAGAAGGAGACAGAATATTGCTGATTGATGCGTGTGTGAGTTTGCATTTGAGAGAAATGGGGATATTCCATATTAGGGATCCTATTCCATATTTGGTCACTTTCCTCTATTTTTTCAAAAATTCGGACCAATCCAATAGTTTATTTTTGGTTCATATAAAAAACTATTACCTCTGAGTCATTATTTTTCTGAAGGATTCACAAAAACACTTTGTCAACTTTCTTTTCTTTAATAACTTCACTATACTACAATCACAAATTGTAGCTTTTCGTCATTTTAAATTTCATACGTAACCTTTATAATCTAAAATAAGTTATTAAGACAAGGCACACACTCTTTTATTTTCCTCCTCTTTTTGTCGAAAATGACAAATATATCATCTACGAATCAGATCCAAGTCCGGGGAAAGTAATCTAACTCTTTCAAATCTAATCATGAACATGATAGCCATAAAATAATAGCCAGTAAGGTGGAAATATAAATATAAAATGGGGCTGTACAACGGAGACCTCAGCTGCAGATTATGCAACGAAAGGATAGAAACAGCTCTACACATCTTATGAGAATGTTAGGCACTGAATAACCGGAGGTAGGCAATATATGGACGTACGAAATTACGTCCAGAAGAATATGACGAACATCCAACACATATACATAAACATACATAAATTTCATAATCAAGCATATTTACAAGTACATTACTTTGTTCTCAATTTTTAATGAGACATGTCGAGTAATCATCCATATTACCATTCCAACCCAATATGAAATCCTCGCTGATCATACAAGCGACAGCAAGATATTCAAAACATCTTCTTTCAATTCCATAAACAAACCCAATATATTCATAAATGACGAGTTCTGAAAAATCAAATAATTCCATTGGAGATTAACATCTTTCTTAAGAGGGTGAATCCTTTCAAAGAATCAATGTTTAAATTTATTCAACTTATTTGTTATTTCTCTCAGAACATTGAACTTATATTTAATTCATGTCTATTCAATACAAAACTGATCAACACCCTCGACAACTGACTTCTAACGCTTTTGAGAGTTACAAATTAGCAAAAACAGGTGTTTTTGCTTTTGCAAACTACATATTCGTATATATGCATATGAACAAGGTTAATATTATACAAATGAGAAAAGTTGACACACTTACTTCTAAACAAGCCCAATTGAATTCCAGACTCCTGTTTTCATATTGTATGAAATACCAATTGACGAAGTACTCCATTAAAGGACTCATCAAACAGGAAGTCTCTTTAGGTTCAATTTTGTTCCACATGGCGAAAAGTATATTAGCAATTTCCAAAACCTTGTCAGCCAGTTTGTCAGCAGTACGATGTTTGAGAACCCCGGATATATGAACCTGAAAACGCAAATCAAATTTGTCACTAACAAAGTAATAACAACTAAACAAAGTACTAACAGGTCCGTGGTTATACACCATCTGAAAATCCAAGTGGTCGACATGGGAGTTATAGTTCAGAAGCATGCATGTATTGATAGTGATATTGCTGAGAGATATTCTGAAAGTTAATTGAAAATTATATTATTTCAGTGAAAATTCAAAATTGAATTAACAAGATTCCCAACTCAATGACCGCAACAGCTGAGTCAGCTACACCATTAAATTCTGCTTTTGGTAAATCATCGTTTGAGCGTTAGCGTTTGCTGAAGTGCTGCTTAAGAATTTGGGGTGCAAGGCAGATCCATTAGATATCCTACTCTTGAGGAGGCCATGAGTCGCTTCCTAGCTGACCCATCCTAGCCTCCTACGACAGGTGAGTTGGTGTATTCAATGTTCGTTTCCTCTATAGCGTCAGAGTCGATTTCTTTGGTTACTTCATGATCCAAATAGGTGTTACGAAGCTTTCAACATATTAATCAAGTTGGTACTCTGCAGCAAGTACATACAACGTCACTTCCTGTCGTATTTTTATTCAGCAAGATTGAGCATTCGCTGTTCACTGTTCACTGATCACTTAGAACAAAAGGTAACGGTAACAGAACAACATAAACAAAACGTTCTCTGAGGAGAACCACCGTACAGCATCAGATCTTTTGAACAGCGATTACGTGAAGCTACTTCGCCATTTCAAGAGCCCGACTGAAAGTCTGTGTTGGCCCATTCTGTCTTAGGACAGAATTTGTCTCACAAGGATGCCTACCAGTGTTTGGCGATTGAATTCACGAGAAATCAATCGATGCACCTGAGCATTGCGGCTAAAAACACACCCTTCAACTTCGGAAGTTGGATACAGATTTCTCTAGACAGGGCCTTAGGCAGGAAACTAAGGCAGATGGCAAAACAATGGTAACAGAAGATGGACATACTCCCTAATACCAGCTATACAGGTCTGGATCAATATGCCTTTTGGTGAAGTGGATCATTTCCTTTCTCAGGGCATGGTTGTTTCTTCAAATACATTTATGATCGCAGGATAGCTGAATCCCCAAATTGTCAGACAGAAGACGACGTAGGGCATACACTCTCTACTTGTACAAGATGGCAATAAAGGACTGTATATTTACCCAAAACGGGAAGTATTGTCTGTGCAGGGTGGAGAAAAACCATGGAAATATGCCTATATCACAATTCGATCTATCATCGAAACCAAGGAAGTGGATGATAGGCGATAAAAAATTATAGTAGCTACAAATTTTTTGAAGTGAGAGGAGGCAAATGGAAGGATATATAAAACACCAAAAGTGAGACAGCATCACAAGTACTGAAGTAATGGGAAAGCGGTTCCAGTACTTGGAGCTCATATAGGAGAGGTTTTAGGTGATAAAAATCCACCACTACGGAATGACCGCAGTCTTTTGAATATTTCCTTTCTTCTGACAAAAAAAAAAGCTAACTTGGCAGGTTTATAACTTAACGACGAATTCAAAATAAATTAATAAGTACTTAGTTGAATAGTTAGATAATGATGAGAGGAGGAAATATTTACAGCAAAAGCAGCACAGTATTCAGGTTATGAGATAAAAATATTATATGTAGGTATATGTATATATTTCTTAACTTATCTCTGTTGGTGATCTTTATTATTCGCACCGGTATTTGATCGTAACTTTTCAGTCCAAACTAAGCCTTAAATCAATGGATATGAATATTTTTACATAACGACACAACTGTGACATGTTGGCTTTGGTTCGAGTGCTATGATCATGAGGGAGCGTAAAGAAAGATCATGTTTTGTAGTATGGGAATGAAATCTTCAAGACAGAAAAGCGTCAGGTTCTTTCATTCATCACTGCATATTCAGTAATATCGTGGTTTTCAAAGAAACAAGCAAGTTCATCTTTCACTGCATGAACCACTGTGCATGCTGTTTTGGCGAGTGCATTGGCTTGGGATGTGGAGGTCGAGCAAACCGGCTATCGGAAGCCTTCTTCCACGTAGCCCCGCTGGATACAGGAATGACAGAATCACTTGTGATTCTGTCTGAATGGCATTCCAACGATGGCTCAATCCTAAGGTGTATGTATCCGTGCCCAGAGGATGAATGACAATGAACCTATCAGCTGTCTCTACGGAACCTTCGAGTTACCGGGAGCCCTCTCGTCGTAGCATCGCCTTGTCACAGTAATGCGGGGCTCTGCCATGATTGACCTTCATGATTTGGTGGTGCAGCCAGAAAACAACTGAGTCGTCTCCTCAAGAGCGGGGTACCTTATGAAACCGTCTTACACCAAATTCTTGAGCCCCTTCAGGTGGAGGAACAAACCCTCCATGAGCAGGTTAGCAAACGTTTGCGTTCAAGTGATGATTCACCAAAACCAGAGGCGAAAAAGCCCTGCACGGTTGAATCTAAGGCATCGTCAGGAGTGGCTGACGTGCAAAAACCCTCATATGGGAAGGTTGTCGCGGGTATCAAGGTGAGAATCTTGCACCTTGACTACCCGACTACCATATTAACGATGAAACAGCAGAGCATATACTTTGTGCCTGCCCTGGTGGGGACCGAATCAGGTTTTTAGAGTTCGACAGAGCCGTACACTTAACATCTGACCTGAAGGACCACTCACCATACAAACTAATTGACTTCGTTAAGCAGCTGGGTTTATTTGGTCGAGTGTGAATAGGTGTGAGCCTCAATAAACCCTTGCGGGTTGCGGTGGAGGGTTGAATAGGCCCACTCACTTTGGACCTAACTTAACCTAACTACTGATGACTGTGCTGCAATAGTTACAGAACTGATATTTTTGAGAAGTGTACTCCCAATTACTTGAATGAAAATTCATTAAATTTACCCATTAAATGTACAATCACAATGAATGCACTCTATTAAAGATCTTGTGCTAAGGAACAATTCACTTTAAAATATATCAGTTATGAAAAAAATGCGGCAGATAGAAAATTGATTTTTGCTGTAAAATGATGAAAATATTATTATTTCACAATTTTTTTTGGTTATACAATTTTTTTTGGTTATGTATATATATATTGTCATATTTGAGATTGAGGACAAGTTATTATAAACAAAGTTTAACTTGAGGGGGTTTGAGATGTTAAGTTGGCAACACTGTGTCAGTTCGTATTTTTACAGTTTTACATGAATCATGTTCTAGGTTTCTGAAAGTTGTACCTATAACAAAAAGTTAGCATCCATTCTTAGCAAATCAAAATACGACATGGTTCGTATTTTGTACAAGATGAAGATAAAAAGCTATACTCACGTAAAGTTCCCTTCACCATATATTGGGATTTCATTTCTAATTGCGATATCAGCAATATACTTTGTAGTTACATTCATGTACTGAATGGGAATCGTGACACAAACATTAAAATTGTTCTGTACCTCGGTTGCTACAACGCTGATATATTTGTTGCTATATTGAATAGGATTGTCTATAGTCTCTAAGCCAGTTATTAATACATCCCTCAAGATTAATGAACCCCTGAAACCAAAAGATCAAAATTTTAGTCTCGGTTACAAAACTGAGAGGTCGTTGCTGGAAATGCCTCATACTATTAGAAATTGAAAGTTATGATTATAATGTAAGCCTAATTTACAATTATATTTGAATTTTGGACTAAGTTGATACCTATAATATTTATTCAAAAAACAATTTGGTTTTGTCGTTATTCTTTATAATCCCTTCCTACATAGATCATGGCACAAAATCAACATAACTTGATGGTTTTATGAAATCGATAAACGGGTTTTGTTATTTCAAGGAATGAATATTTCGTTCACTTCAACCCCACAAACATCAGAACAGGAAAAAAATAAACAAAAATTTTAAAAAAAATAAACATTGACACCGTTTACTTACGCTATAGAGGGATCATTTAAAATCTTTGGAACATCAATAGTTACATCAGATATCAATAGTTGCGAATTGTCTTGTAGCAACTTCAAATTCATCCAAACGTATATGCTCAACCTAAAAGCTGAAATAAATTATTCTTATATAGAATTATTAAACAATATATCAGTGAAATACTCTTGGTTTCTAAATTTAAATATATTCTTGTTTGAAAGCTTCAAGACATCTTACCATCCATTTCAGACAAACTTTTTAAATGATTTGAACAGATCTCAAAAATCACTAATATTACTCATTTTGTCTATTATATATCTAGTATTCTCTTCTGTGAAATAAATAAGATTAAAAAATTATCTTTGTTGACGGCTCATAAATAATATCAAGATTAGGGATAATATATCATTCAGTATGAAAGTATATTGCTTTATAAGAAAATGTTAGTCATACTTGTTGACTTCATAGATGATAATTCGTATAACCGACAACTTATAAAGGCATATTGGTCTTTATTGCACATACTACTGAAATGTTTCTGATGTGAAACATTATTGCCGCACGTAAAATCGATTGATTGCGTGGCGACGCATGCCGTGGCGGCGAGTCGCCATACGCAAACGAATAAAAATAAAATATGTCTGACAGTGATAATTTAGAAAGTGAAAATGAGCACTGTTGAGCAACCTCCTGCGAAGAAAGCAAAATCACACTACGACACACTATCAAGTCATAAGTATGTTAATTATATTTTTGTATTTTACAATTGAAGTGTGCATTTATTTATCTGTGCATTAAGATCGCGTATATTTGGTCTTTTCAACGGTCAATAAATGTAAAATCTACTGTCTTGGTAGATTAAAATTTACACAATTTTCATAACATTTTTCAATTCAATCATTAGTTAATTCCAATTTCATTCTTATGAAAAACAATGGAACAAAACGCTTAAAGAATAAATTTCAATATGTTTCTTAGCTTTTTTCTGTTCCAGAAATTATTTCACAATTTCTCCTTCGGTAGCATTTTTTATTTCAGAATCTTGAGTTGATTGAAATGAAATTCGACAGAAAATTTGATTCAACAAATTCGTTCGGTTGCTTCTACAAACTCTCATGCAGACAGTTGGAAAAACAAAGTAAGCCCACAACGCCACCTTGTATGGTCGACTGCAATAAATTAACTATTTCATTATGTTGATAACAGGATGATTGTGTTGTTTTCTTTGATGTCTTAATTGCTTGAAATGGATCAGAACGTCTTGTCAACCATCAGAAAAAATTGAAATGACCATTGTAAACTGATTATTTCGGCATCCCGGATCGATTTCACATCATAAAACTAATAAATAGAATAAATNTCAAGGTGGTATATATATTCAGTTTTATTTCTATCTCTATTCAAATTTTTCATTTCAATATATTTCGAACATTTTTAATCTTGAATTTAAAAATAAGAGTAGAAGTCTGTGAACACTTAGTGATACGACTATCGTCAAACTTAAATCAGTCCGTTTCGTCTTTGACGATTTTATCGAACCTGATATGTAGAATTAAAACCTCTGACGTAAACTGAATCTATTGAAAATACTAAAAAACCATGTTAGCATTATCATCAGAAGATGACTGACGCGCGTTTTGCTAACAATATTAGCATCATAATCATCAAGAGATGATTAAAACTGTTTCAGTCATCTCCTGATGAATATGCGAGAGAAAGTATTTTTGGTCTAGTGTGGGTAAAGTGTTTTAAATAGTTTGATTTTAAAAAAAATTCAACTCTGAAGTCGAAAAGGAAATTTTATGCTCTGATAGCAGTTTCCCACTTTCATTTGAAAAAACACGATTTAACAAAAGTGAGATCAAAATCTGTTGACTATGACCTTACCGGCACATATTGCAGCAATCCACCCTCCACATTTTTCCTGTTCTTTGAGCATTTCACCAACATCTGTAGATCCACCAAAAGCTAGAGAACCCTGTAAACCTCCAGGAAGAACAATGATATCGAATGGTCCTTTCAACTTAGCTTCACAAATTCCTATGTCAGGTTTTACTCGCACCCCTCTACCACACTGCAAAAGAGACCCATCTGGTACGCCAGCCGTTGTAACCAAAATCTATGAAAAACGAAAAAAAAAAGCTGTGTAGCAGATTATTTATTTTTATTACCCCTGCTCTTGATAATATATCTGTAGCAATAACAAATTCCATCTCCTCTGATCCCGATGCAACTAGTACCAAAGCTGTTTTGGACATTTTCCAGTCGAATAATAACAAGAAATGTTGAAATTAATATGATGGAATGTAATATAATCGAATGAAATGAGAACTAATGTAAACAAAAATGACACTCTATTCTTTATAAATAAAATGATAACAGTATCAAAGTTACGAAATCGAAGGCAGCCTTAATTATGTGCTTATGTTAATCTAACTTCTCAGTCGAGTGGTAGATAAAGAAAACAAACTAACCGAATTTTGTATACTGGATGGTCCAAAGTAGAAGTACTACACCCTAACAAAAATATACATATTATTTTTGGGAATTGAATAAGTTCTCTTCTGTAACAGAATATCTAAGGGAACTGAAATGTGGAAATAGACAGCTCTCGAAGCTGACCAACTTAATTCTCTCTAAATAAGTCTTGTTAAAAAACATCTAGATGACAGTTTCTTGTATAGTTTCGAAATGTGTATCAAACGAGAGACAATTACAAACACACAAGCCTATAAAAACTCAGTTGTTAATTCGTAAATGCTTTTGAATGATCTAGAAAAATTTCGGCCAAACTGCACCTGAAAGTTATCATGGAAGTCTTTGAGGTATTGAAAAATAATTCATTTGCATCACACCACTTTTTACTGAACCTAAATCAGCTTCAATACATAGTTTTTTGAGAGCTATACCTACTATTATGGTGCCATCGGAATACAAATGAAGTCAATTCACCTTCAATGCTTTAGCGAGATCACTAACACTGCAGCTACAACACCCGGGTTATATTTTTTCTAGTAATGCAAACATGGCATAATTCGTACTTTTTCCGACTGGTATGTACTGAGCAAAAGATTATTACTAAAAAAAACAGAGTCATCCATTGGTTCATAAGGTTTTTTACCAGTTTCGCCAGAGTTGGCAATAGAGAAATCGGTCTTGTCGGTCTTGGATTTGATGCCAATTCACAATCACCTTTGGATAATGGTTTGATGACTAAAACCTTCAGACAGTCAGGAGAAATACCACTTGAGAAAAATGTATTAATAGTATCTGCTAAGATTGTTAATGTATTCCCTGGAAAGTGTAAGAGAACCTTTGCGGAGTTATCATTCCAAACTGATGTGTTTCGTTTATATATCTATCAAAGTGTCTATATATTACTTTCTCTGAGCTGGTAGATGATAGCAAAAAGGAATATCGTACAGTTATATTTTTAGTAAAGGAAGTATGATCTTCCTGTGCCAAGATATTCCCCATATATATTTCAATAAATTGATGAATGTAGCCGTTACTACGTGGTAGGAGATCATCATGAAAAATGAGAAATAAAGCCACTTACTTGTATTTGTTGATGTGTTTCTTTTATATATCTATCAAAGTGTCTATATATTACTTTCTCTGAGCTGGTAGATGATAGCAAAAAGGAATATCGTACAGTTATATTTTTAGTAAAGGAAGTATGATCTTCCTGTGCCAAGGTATTCCCCATATATATTTCAATAAATTGATGAATGTAGCCGTTACTACGTGGTAGGAGATCATCATGAAAAATGAGAAATAAAGCCACTTACTTGTATCTGTAACTAAAATAAATGCAGTTTCGTCCTACCTATAAGGTCATTTTCAAACGAATATAATAAACTGATATAATTAACAATGTTAATCCTTATATCTATACACCACTATAGGTTATAACAGACGGTCCTTAACTTAACTGAGACCCTGAATTTTGTTTACCTGTGACAATGTGGGTACGCGAATCTAAAACCCGGCGAGTAAACCACGTCGATTTGGTCATTTAGTAGGTTAAATCAGCAATGCTTATGAATTTCCAAGGATTCCAAATAACCGAGTTTCCAACCCTTGCTTGCATAGTGCAAATTTCTGTATCGTTTAGATTCGGGAACTTATGATTGCATTCCAAGGAATGGTCTGAAAACATCGAATCATTCTTACCTAGTCTGAAGGACCTTTCATATTCAGCATACAGTTTTGAGAAATCCCGGTCACATTGTCTCACATAAACACTATTACACTCCGAACGCTTAAGCTCATAAACTGCAGATTTCTCCATCTTGTCCACTTTATCTTTGGCATTTAAAAAGAAATTGGATAATATGGCATGTGGCTTGAATGCCACTTCCACACTGTTTTTTCTTAAAAATCCCGCAATTGTCTCTGTTCTTTTACCAAAATATGTTAAAGTTACAAATTTCTTGATTTCTGATTGAATATTTTTTAATATTATTCCATTGTTCTTCCGAACAATGTTCCGTTATTGAAACTATATGAGGAAATTTGTAAGTTGTAAGTTTCTAGAAAAATGTACAGGTTATCAATTTTCATTGCCAACTGATTAATGTTCAAGAGCATCATATAGAGTGCATGATGTCAGTAAGTTCTTCCCATTCTAGTATTTTTTCCTTCCTATAAGGTGGATCAAACTGTGAAAATTATTCTTCAAGCAGTTCGTATTTAGTCAAGAAAAATTTATAATTTTTGGAAAAATGGTTTTTTAAAATTAGGTTGAAGTGCCATAGGTAGGTAGGTCTAAAGTGAGTGGGTCTATTCGACCCTCCACCGCAAACCATAAGGGTTTATTGTGGCTCACACCTATTCACACTCGGCCAAATAAACCCAGCTTCTTAACGAAGCCGATTAGTTTGTATGGTGAGTGGTCTTTCAGGTCAGATGGTGAGAGTACAGATCTGCCGAACTCAAAGAACCTGATTCGGTCCCCAGCGGGGCAGGCACAAAGTATATGCTCTGCAGTTTCATCATTTTCCAGACAGAGGCGACACACACTGTCTTCC